TCCTGCTTTAAACCGGGCCGCTATAACCTTGGCTGAACATTTTTTGTAGCTCATTAAAGAGCGTGCGAAACTCGACGCGCTATGCTCGAATCTGCTCTGGTCTAGCGGCCTGGGTCACCTCCGGCATACTAGAGCCTACGGTAGTTAAAGATATTCATGCACGTTATTTTATCAGTCCTGTCTTAATAGGTTGAGCTCACTGATTAATCTTAGACTCCTTAGATTTCCCGCTACAAGTAATTACAAACACTAAATAAACTATCCCTAACCAGGAACATGAGTTCGATCGAGAGGCCTTGGTTGGCAGTCTCTTATGAAATGATTAATAAAGAAAAAGTTAATTGTACTAATATCTGTAAAATGATACGACAGTACTGTAGTACGTAACAGTAAACAGCTGATACTAGACAATTGAATAAGTCAATAATGTATCTTCAAGTACCTGATAAGGAACCCTTGCAACTTAGATTATAGCGAAGGCAAGATAAAATCATTGTCAGTCGAACTCTCTGTTAGACCATTATCAGTCTTTGGGAAGTAAATAGGGAAAAATAATGATGTTATAAATTTGCAGCAATTTTAATATACACCAAAATACTCCTTTTTTGCCATTATCGGGTAACAAATATACTATTTTTTTAGTCTTCTGGGACTTTTGGTCTAAAAACTATCTTGCTGAAGTACCAGTGGCCTCTTTGTACGTGTTTGAAAATCTAGTGGATTGTGTATTTTTATTTTTTCATTTTCTTTGTGTAATATTTCATCATGGAACGCTCTATTGCAATGGTGAGTGGGTTTATTTTTCTAAATTACCTTTTTTTTCTTTGTTTATCTTCGACCAACTGTAATAATTGTTACGGTTTATACAAACTGTTAATGAATTTTGGATTGTATGGTAACAAACCAATGTTTATTCGTTAACTATTTTTATTAACTTATGGTAGGTATGGTACCTAATTGCCGACATGTGCAGTACTATTTATAATAGAAACTACTCCTTTGTTGTTAAATCAGTCAGTTTGTTTTCTATCAGAACCGCTAGAGTTATATGTTCTATTTGAGCCTTTAAGACCTGAATGTCTTTAAGGCCCTAGTGCATAGATTGTTTATGGGTAGGCGTACTGGGTAAGGTGGCTCCATTAATAATAGGTCGCAACATCGCTCACTGCGAGATTAGAGCCAATGGGCTTAATCAAAAAAAAAAAAACTTATATATTCAATAATATTCATTCACAATCTTAATGATATGTACTAAAAAAAATTTGAATATAGAAAGTAATTACCACTTCAGTTTATCGGGAACTTATATTTCGATGGTGAAACAGACTCATTAAATTCAAATGGAGTGGAATGTCTTCCAAAATCACTAGTGAAATTGTTAACAATAACAAATGAATATTAAATCCACAAGACTTTACTAACTATCCGATTATGAAGATCTACCAACCACACAGCGTGATAAAGAAAGTCACGACTTGAGAAACATTAGGTACAAGTTTACTCGTTATAAAAATCTCTGGAAACCTTGCCTTAGCAAATTAAGTGTAAAATATATAAAAAAAGTTCAAGGACGTTCGCGTTTTATAAATGCATCGCGTTTAGTATTACTGAAGAAGGAGAAAAAGTGGTTTTTAGTCAGAGGGACTCTGATACTCAATGTCGCCTCATCCAGAAGGGTAAGAGAAGTCATTTGATGAAATAGTCACTAGGAGTCTGGCATTCCCTCTTGCCCCATCCAGGGTGATGGAAGCCACTTGATGGTTTAACCCCTACAAAACAGAAAAAATCTTCATTTAGTATAGTGATGGAGTAAAATAAGTTTAGTGTACCTACATTTATAAAGTTAAGGCAGCTATTGAGCCATTGACGATACATCTATTTGGAATCAATCACATGGAGATATTCAATTCACAATTAGCACATTATAAAACATTGAGCAGAATTTCAAACTAAGTACCTCATTTTTAACCTGTTTATAGAGCTGACATGGTACCTAAGACGGTCAGTGCTTGCAAGACACTTTTTATTATTTACCCTTGAATTAACTGTAATGATGATGATAATAGACAAATGAGGCAATTGTACTGACAAATGTAAGTAGGTACTGTTGTTAAAGCGTCTGGGGAACCACCTAAATGACGCATAAGTATTCGGTAAATACATTTCTATTCTACGCGATAAACTCAGCAAAGGAAAACAATTCATAACATAAATATACATTAAGTAAATACGGTGATGTTTTCCTTGAACTATTTATATTTAGTAAACAAATGTGCTATATAAATTGAGCTTTGTTAATATTTATACCTATAAAAAAACCTTTACACTTTGACATTGACATTTTAGTCAAATGTAATAATAACCAATCAACAAACTGTTACACTTTTAAAATGGCACAAATTGTTACATGTTTTAGTTAGTAAGTTTAGTTTTACCGAATGAATTAATAAAAAAAAAAAATCTTTAACAAAGCGTACATAGTATAGGCATAATATAATAATTATATGTTGGATCATCATCAAGGTCTCTCAAGGATCTCTTAGTCCTCAACGTCGAACGACAAGTTGCACCTGCATCCATTGGCTCCCCGCGACTCTGACAAAGTAGTCGGTCCACATAGCGGGGGCCTGTCCGCTCCGTTTTCCGGTCCTTGGTCGCCACTTTAGTACTTTTCGGGCTCATCGGCCTTCTGTCGTTAAAATGACCTGCCCATCGCCACGTTATCCTGCAGATTTTATGAGCTATGTCGGTGATTTTAGTTCTTTATCGAATTTCCCCATGCGCAGAGACCCCGAGCATAGCCCATTCCATCGCGCGCTGTGCGACTCTGAGTTTTTCAAGAAGGCCAGAAGTTAGGGACCACGTCTCAGTCCCATACGTTATCACCGGCAACACATACTGGTTAAAAAAGCACAGTCGAATAAATGTTGTATAATCAAATCTCTAAACAATGTTAGTAAGTAAAGCGGTCAAAAGTCGATAACCGAATACAAATAAACGATTTAAATCGATTGTTTTGCACAACATAATCGACGTAATAGAAAGTTAGTATTCGTGTTACGTTATATGAGCACATTGGACAAATTATAAATTCCAGTCAGCTCAAACGGATCGTGATGAAAGTGATCGTGAGTGAAGTTAATGACAAGCCAATTACGGGTCTGGCTACGAAAACTAGTAGCAGTGATTGCAATGGATAACATGCTCTGCATAAACTACAAAAATAGGATTTTTTTATAAGCCATTATTAATTTGTTTTGTCAGTCTCTTTAGATTTTTCATTAACGTGTCTCATAATCATAATTTAACTTTGAGATGAAACATTTTTGTTAATTGGTGGAACATCCACCATACCATACCATATTATTTTGTGAGTATTACATAAAATTATAAGTATACTAGCTACTCTCGCACAATTTCACCCGATGCTCGGCTCTTACAAATCGTAGCGTGATGTTGTATAGCCTATAGCACTCAGGAACATTGAAGCTATCTATCAGTGAAAGAATTTTGGAAATCCGACCAGCGGTTCCTAAGATTACCCCCTACATACAATCTTACAAACTTACAAATTTTACCTCTTTATAATATTAGTATAGATTTATATCATAGAACAGAAAAATACTTCTATCATACTTGATATTAAAGTATTTGATACATTATAATTATACTAAGTACGTAGCCTATGCCAAAGAAGTAGACTCGAGTACGTAAAAAAGAGATACGTTATTGAAAATAGCCGTAGTATTTTAATAAACTTTTGTTGTTGCAAGACTTTTATATGAATATAGGACCATGAAACGTTCGATTATAGAAAAAAATACTAGATTTTAATCGACAAATTTTTTTTATGGTCAAATTAGCAGGGGAATATGTAGGTAAATCAATATCAATTACCGTAACAGAAGTACTTTATGATTTGGGACAAATTTTATTTGACATGGAGTACCCAGGTCCTGTATAGCGAGTTCGAATTAAAATGTACTTAGGTACTTATTACAAATGCCGTGATTAAAATCGAAAAAAAAAGTCTTAACACTAGACCTGGTATAATCAAAGATAATATTTGTCTAATTTAATATTAAAAAGTGACAGTTTTTGCCTGAAGTTGCAAGTGTCCATGAGTGACGTTGATTGGTTATCACCAGGTAATCTCGTTTGCCGACCTGTGGCATATAAAAAAAGATGATGTAGAGTACTTCCTAGATCAATTCAAAATGTGTCGATGCTATAGATTTAGAAGAACATACATTCGACACTTTTCAATGTGTTTTCCATAACACAATCAATGATAGAAATATTTTCTGCATTATCATTATACAGTGATAAAGCTATACGTAAACAAATTACGAGACAATCACTGATACTTATGATAATATATTATCAATATTGTTATTAACAAATTAAACGCTAAATCGGCAATTAAATAAAATGCATTTTTTAAAATTGATTTGAACTTCATTTTCTATTTACCTAAGCTTTGTGTTACCCATGCTACGAAGCTTATTTATAAATATATAAAAATCAATGTCACTTTCATTGTAATGCTAGGTAACTTAACAATGCCTTTACCGATTTGGCTAATTTTGGTCTTAAATGCTTCGTGGAAGTCCAAAAAATGTTACGTAGAGGAAATTTATGAAAAAGTGTAAAATCAACATCGACATCCATAATAGATATTGAACCAATTGCCATAAGCTAGGCACAAATAGAATATACTTTATGAGTTTTTAAAAAATATCGACAACCATATTCAGCTTTGACCAAGCGATTAATAGAAACTTGTCGACGAACAAGGATCCATCTTGAGTACAGATAAAAAATATTTAAATAATTATGTTAAATGTCGCACGCGATACAGTAATTAAGTCAACACAGACATAGTTTATTTATCTTAATAGAACTATGATATCTGTATTTATTATAATCTTTATCATGTTGATTAGAAATTAAAGCTAGATATAATTTATCTTTATGAATTGATTGATAATTATAATCTCGCTTAGTACATGAAAATTAAGTAGTGTGACGAGGATTCGGCCGTGGCCGGTCCAAGAATTTTAATACATTTTGTTTGTGTTGCAATAGGTAAGTTTAAAACCTATTTTCTTTAATTCGTTTTTAGTGCATGTAGAATGTTGTTTTTTTTTTGTTTTTTAAAAAAGACTTTAGTATATAAAGCTGTGATATTTATTATTTTGAATGCTTGGATGTGCACACTGTCACTTTCATCTGTAAAAAAAAAACTGCTGAATGGATCAGAACGAAATTTGGCAGAGAGATAAAAAATAGTCTGGTATTCCAGATTCATAAGCAACTTTTTATTATTTTTATCGTTGGTACTGCGAGTGAAACCGGTGGTAGTAAAGTAGTTTATTGTAAATTCCTTAAGACTTTCTCTCCCATCCAATATATCATGGCAACATGGTTTCACAAATAGCCAGTGATACTCCATTAATGCGTTTTCTGTAGTCCTCGTGTTTAGCAGGTGGCTTGGAGATCTCCTATTACGATGTCTGGGTTCTGTTGTCCGCTATATACCTATATAATAAGCAACAGGTTTTTTCGAAGTCGAGAAAATCATCTCTTAATTCGCCCACTCTGAGTGGATAAGAGGGACTGTCAGACTTTTAGTAACCCATTTCTTGTAATGCTCTGGATCAAATCGTGGAACATGTGTATCCTATGTTTTTATAATAACTATCGTGAGACATACTAAATTAACTAAAAACCGCGGGTTACTCACGTGTATATATTGAGAAAAGCTCTACTAGTTTCGAACCACAGAGGGATTCTTCCGCACACGCTGCTCATAAGGAAAAACCCCCCCAGTTAATTTAATGTGTATCCTACGATGAGAATATATTCAAATCTATTTAAATTTGTATAAAAGATAATTAGAACTAGTTACTCTAGTTCCAAGTCATGGTTTTCATCTCAAAAAATGGCTAGGTATCCAATAAATAATATAAATCCTCGTGGTTCGATGATGTGAAAACGCCATATCAAATTTTACGAGCACGGAAAATTGTACTTTAAGATCTTTGAAGTGTATTGAATATTGGAAATTTTATACATCAATGATTTTGATTGTACCTGTTGGATTTGAAAATTTACCTGTCCTTGTCCTATTTTATTTGGGGTCAGCTTTGTGTGTTTTATACTGAATGGTTCTATAGATGTCATTTGTTTTCATTACCTAGCATATATCATTACCTATCAGTATATTTTTATTTGCAATTCAAAGATGTAAATAAACCTCATTGTAAACATGAGAGTCATCCAGGTTTGAAGGGCTACCGCAATAAGATATCGTGGCCTCGGCCTTGAACAGGAGAAGGAACGAGGGCCTTCATAGTCAGTAAGAGTCAGAAACTTTATCACTTTTCTCACAAAAAAAGTATACATTTCTTAGAGTAATAATTACCTATCTGCTTTGATTATAACTTTCGTGAGACATTCTAATCATGCTCATGAATATGGGCCTCTAGCATGGCTTGAAACTAGTCGAGTATCTCGTCAAATTATTACGTGAGTAAGCCGAAAACATAATAAATAACCTATTTGCTTTTTTATATATTAAATACTTATTTAGAATAGTTTAAATACGCAATTTGTTGGTCAACAATGTTATTTCGATTCTACTGCTAGAATTTCGAAACGCTACGCTACGCTTCAATACGTCCTGTCATCAAATTTAGCATACCTAAGTCAAACATTCTATATCTACACTGAATATATTGGAATCCACGATAAGAACTTTTAGTTGAAGTGTCAAATTATTATTCTTAGTTTAAAATTAATGTTTGTGAGTCTCGTTTGAACTCTGAAACGACTGGACTAGTTTAGTTAATTTTAGTCTAGAAATATTCGTGGAACTTAAAGAAATGAAAGCAATAATTTTCTTTCTCAAACAAACGGCTCTATGTGACAATTAAATAGATATTTGACAATGAAAAAACTCATATTATTAAAGATTTATGAGACGGTACGGGATTTCCAAGGTCGACAAAAAAGTCTGATAGCTTCAAAGGTACTTAAAGTTTATACATTGACATAATTTTAAAAGCTACAATTATATACAAACAACATTTATATATTTTATCACGCCATCTTAGTATGATCTATATACATATTTCAGAAGGCAAACTTTTATGTGTTTACGAGTAGATTATGTTGAAAAAATTTATAGCAACTATTTCTCTTATCAATATCTTGCAATGTGATAAGACAAAACAACGATTACCTACACGATTAAGATAATCAGAGTCCTATTGTATTATCTGTATAATTATTGAATAAATTATAAAGCTTATTAATTTTTCGAGTATAAATTAACTCGATCATAAAGGCGCCATATTGTGCCGACAGAATATATATGTCATCCACAGACGGGGCCCTAAAGTGCTGATGTTCAGCCAGGGTTGCGGGGTAAGCGCAATGAGGCACTGCGACCTCGGCCCAGAGCAGGAGAAGGAACAGGGGGGGTTTTTAGTCAGTAAGAGTCTGACACTCCCTCCCGCCCGACCCTGGGCAGGAGAAGCCACTTGATGATTTTCCCCTCACAAAAAAAAAGAATATATATGTCATCAACTCTTCTTTATTTGCTGTTATCGTAAGACTAGCTAACTGAGGGACTGAATATATGACAGATACCTAGCAGCGCGCTCTCTGAAAAACCTGACCCTTTTAAATTTTGATTTGCATTTCACCTGTTGATCGTACTTACTTCTTTTATGTGATAGCACGGCAAACGAGTAAACCTGCTGGTAATCAGCGCCGCAGTACACCCGCAATAACGGACGACGAGTACATTGCCGACGTTTTATGGTTTAGGGTTTTGGGGATTCAGGGATCGGGGAGGGAAAGATTGGGCCTCAGTGACGTTACTTTCACACGGCGAAAGACAAAACAGTGTTTCTTTCACGACGTTTTTCTGTGAGGCCGTTGTATCACTCCGGTCATGCCGAACCATCAGTGCCTAAAGCATGACTCTCCTACACATAAATTTACTGTACCTTATATAGAGACGACGTTTTTGAACGTGTGGTAATCTTCATGAATACATTTTGTATAATCAAAGAGTTATATCGGTTTCTTACTGACTAAAACCACACGTTTCATCCTTGAAACAGTTAGAGGATCACAGGGTACTCAGATGTACGACCTCACCAGCCACTATCGTATTGTGTTTCATCCTATATTTTACGGAGTTTAATTCTACGACGGTTATAAACACGCCGCCTTTGTCTCCTATTTGGGGTGAGAGGACCTATAATGACTATTGTCTTGCAGCAGATTTTTAGCACTTAATCTAAAAGTTCACGACGTTTTGTTAAAGCATTTGCTATTCTTAGTTTTTTATGGTATATACATGAATTTCCCCAGAATATTATACCATGACGTAAGTGGGATTCTACTATGCCATAATAAGCAGTATGAAGAACATCTATGTCAATTATTGGGGATAATAAACGTAGAGCGAAGGCGGACTTAAAAATTCTCTTACATTATACATAGGTCGACAAACGAGTCGGCGACCTTTGTACACTTCAAATCAGTTACTAGTGCGTTACTTGCATTTTTTGGGTTGTTTGGGTTACCGGGATTGGGGATTGGAGAATTTTCCATATAAGGCCGTATACAGTCTGATGGGCCCGCGTATTAAGTTTTACAGCTTTCTTCTACCTATATGTATAAATGTTTAATGATTCAATATAGGTAAAATTAATTACAAGCGAAAGTTCATGAAGTTTATTTTACTAATTTGAGATTATTTTGTCAACAGTTACACCCCAAACAAGATGGCCCAGGAAAACAGCAACTCCACTTTGGAGATGGGAACCAGTGACCAGGTAATAAAAAACAAATGTAAAAGTTTTAAAAACTTACAACATTTTTAGGTATACAAACTCATTATCATGTAATACAATCTCGTTTCATAACAGTCTGGTATAATACACACACACACACATGCACATATGTAAAGCTAGCGACTCTCGCGCAGTTTCGTCCGCTGTTCGGATCCATTTGATCGTAGTGTGATGTTTTATGGAGCATTCCGAATCACCGTAGCTATCTATCAATAAAATATTTTTGGAATTCCGATTAGCGGTCCAAAGATTTTTACCCCTGCATACACTTACAAATTACAAATGTAAAAATTATAATAAACATACATACACATTGAACGATTTCGGTCTGAATTTTGAGTTGACTGTAGCTACTTGGTAATCAGTACATACAGTCATTGTACTGATTTTTTTTAATAACATACTTGCCATCTTTACGTGCATAAGCAACATATTCCTAGTAACCATGAATCATAAATAAAAAAAGGAAACTAGAATTGTCTTAGTTACATTTATTTACATATTACAATGAAACATATTTCAATTCATTTGTAAATAATTGATGTTAAATACTTTAACGGACACAGGATAACCTTCGATAACCTCAGTGGAGTAACCACATGTAAAAAATCTTAAATCAAGGTCCGCATTCGTGGTTCACTCCATTCCATTTCTGTTCCGCGAGCGGTATGGCCGCGGATTCGGATTATAAATTTTAAACAAATATTTGATTAGTGTTAAGAAGTGTGAATTTTTGTGATGTTTGTGTGTCTGTGTGAAATAAACCAGTGATTTCGGATTGCAGTGTTATCGTTTTCCGAGGTCTTGAGTTATGTATGTTTTTTTTTTTATTTTATTTTACATTGATATAAATTTTAAAAGGCCAATCGAAGTCTCTGAAAACAAATGAGAAACAATATGAGTTGTCTTCTTTTTTAAGTTTTAAATCATTGAATAATCATATCTCTATATATCAGGGGGTAATTACTTCAACCAAAATAAACGTATTATTTATTCATTTCGATCAGAATTTAGTATAGTTATACATTTCTGTATTAACCCATAACAAAATAAAACTTCTCATAAGCCATAAATACATTTCATTTAAGGAAAATCCATAAGGAATACGTAGCTATGTAGTTTGGTAATTTAATAAATCCAATATTAATGACTAATTGAATAATAGTGTTGACTGTATGAAATACTTACTTTAATATATTTACTCAGCTTGCAAAGACGTCAATACAAATTAAATATTTTTTGATAATTGACGTTGAAACCTTTAAGTAAACTGAAATAAATAAATTTTCTGTTTTTGTATTGTTAATCGGTTGGTGAAGTGTATAAAAACAACTTTAGGTAATTAAAATTCGCTTATTAACCTTTTTTAAATCAAAAGTTTAAGTATTAAGCAAACACTACAAGTGTTACTATAGAAACCAAAATAAAAAGAGACCAGTCGGTAGCGGGAATAAGGTTCAAGCGACCGGTGGTTATGGTTCTAATGACAGATACCTCCTCACAAGACGTGTTATTCTAAGGAGGACTGCCTTCTGTATCAGGCCAGGATTAAGATGGTTGTCGAGGCTTTTGGGGACTAACCAATTTGCTGACGCAACTATGGGCACAAGCACAATGATAGTCCTTACACCATGCCATTTTGACGACAGCCTCGCGAGCCAAGTCAACAAGATTGAAGTATTAGCATAGTATTCCTTAGTAGTTGTTATAAGAACAAATGTGACTGACAGCACAAACTAGAAATACCTCGTTCGGGAATAAGATGTAGTATTTTGTTTTATGTCATAGTTATTTGCTTTTCTTACACGGCTTCGCCCGTGTGGTTACAGGAATATAAGGAAAATGTAGCCTAAATCCATTTTCAGCATGTTGACTGTTTATACACACAAACAATATTTTTTTCATAATACGTTATGTCGTTAAATGGAGACCGCTTTTTGTGTCGCTATGTAGAAGCTAATAAACTAAATAAACAACATACCAAACTCAAATATTCTGTATCTAACGAATCTGAACGATCTTCTAAAAATATTATTCAAAACTGAGTACTCAATCGTATGCATTATATATGCTTTCAAAAACACTTAATGAGGTCGCAGTACTGACAGCTTATTATGGAAACGTCGAAAGTGCGATAAGATACGGAATTATATTTTGGGGGAATCATACTGAAAAAGAACAAATATTCAAAGCACAAAAAAAGTGCATTAGAGCAATATGCAAGCTCGATCAAATGGATAGCTGTAGACCGTACTTCAGAAAACTAAAAGTATTAACGGTACCATGTCTGTACATATACGAGTTGGTGTTGTTTGTGAGGTCTAATTTAACGATGTACGAAAATTATATAAGCAAACGCCACAGTCTCAAAATAAACTGTCCTCAACACAAAAGTGCACTGATGAAAAATAGCATACTTTGTATGGCGCCGCGGGTTTACAATCATCTACCAAAGGTGATACTAGAAATCAAGAGCACTAATATATTTAAACATAAAGTTAAGCAACTCCTTGTGGATAAAGCCTACTATAACGTTAGTGACTATATCAATGACATGAAATCTAATAATGAGTGACGACATCTTTGTATAATGTTATTAATTGACTTGACTTATTTATCTTTTATTTTTTATTTTTTTTGGTTTTGTTATTGTTATTGTTTGATTTGATTTATGTAATTAACTGACATTTATTGTTTTCTTACGTTTTATAAGTTTGTCTTAATGAGTGTGTACAAGCAGTAAAATAAATATCAATAAAATTGCATGCCTTCAGGCTGATTATGGAGATACCAAACTTTTCAATGTATCCATGTTGTCACTACCCATTTTCGCAATAAATGAGTTTGAGTTTGAGTTTGAGTTTATCTTATGCTCCATCATTCTATGAAAACATATGATGGTAAAGCAATGACTAGAGTTACTACGTTAAGTTTCTACAGGTTAAAAGTACTAAGGGTTGCATAGTATATAATTTTATTTTATACAACATAAGCTGTTGTAGGTTGGTAAATATAGATTGTTTTTTGCAAGTTCTCCAGTGTAGTGTGACTTGGCTCGCCAGTTTACCTTCGAATGCCTCTTTGTTGTAGGCACACTATTTATCATGTATATTAAACTTCCTAGTTACATTCAGGTCATAATAAGTTCTACATATCTTGTAATAAAATATAAAGTCCCTTATTAGTCGGCTAAGGAAAACGTTAATTAATGGGAACGTTAGAAATGTGGAAAGAAATGCACTATCAAGAATTTTATTTATATGTTTCGTTTATTTGTTATTCTTAACAAAACTATTAGTATTTTGAACAAAATTTAATTCAGTTTTATTACGTTTAAAAATTGTAGGTTCGTTTTATTAAGTATTTCTTTTATTTAAATATAGCAAGCTGACTAGCGAAATGTTTACAGGTCCTGGTGGCAACAAAACGCAAAAAGACTATAGGATACATAGTGGGAACTATCGCCATGTTGGCCGTAGCAGGAGTGGTGATAGCTCTGATCATCGTGCTATCTCCTGATAGTACCAGTGCAACCCCAACACCGGCACCGATTGTCTCCACAACAGATTCAGGCGCCACGGGCACAACTGAAGGCCCGACTTCACCTTTAACCCCATCCACTACACCTTCTACAACTACATCAACTACAACAACTAGTTCAACAACGACAACCACGACTACGACTACAGAAGCTCCTGATGGTCCCCCTGGGCCACTAGACTTGGAAGAAATCATTGATGGAGCATTCTCGCCACCGTCGTTCAACGCCACTTGGACATCAGGTATGAAAATATTATTTTTGACACGGTGCTGAACTTTCTTCCAATACGTGGAAGTTTCGATTCCAATACGGAAATAATCTTCTTGTGATCTGGTGGATCAATCATCATCAACTTTGCTTCGGGTCTAGGTGTGATGTGTATGTGATTTTTTATGTTTTCACAACACTCGAGAATGACCTAGTGTGGGGAAACTTCTTTTTTAACCAGTATACATGTAACGCTTCGTTAAACGCCACAACGCAAGGCATCCACGTCGATTATGACATCAACTGCCACTATTTGCACACGATTTGCTTTACCAATTTTGGCTTAAAATATGGTCATGAATTAAGTAAACAAATAGTGTAAAAACAATAGGTAATTTATGAATCTGCGTCAGCGAAAATCTCTTATACAAATACCACTCTACGTCACTATCCAAAATATACCTTATTAACACTTTACGAAATTGGTACGGCTAAAGAATAAACTATAAACAATAATAATTGACAATGTTGCGTGCAATTTTTGTGAAATATTTAATTACATAAACAAACAAGTTGGTCTTGCTGACCATTATCGCACGGATTGCCCAATTGTTACGTCCCCGACCTTCCAAAAGCAAACTTAAATTACCTATGTTATGCAAACGTGATGTTAAAACTAAAATTGAAAAGGTTACGTGGTAAAATATACTGTCTTTTCTGTTTCGAAGTCCAGTGTATCATTTGGACCATTTAAAAGTAGTCAGATAAATTAGTACAAATCGGTAAAGTATGGCAGAGGCATGCTTTGGTCCGTAAGATCCAGCTTGATCGGGAGTGATACCACGGCCTCACATAAAACCAGCGTAAAACAGCCATAGAACTATACCAAACTACCGGCAACGCACTTGTAACTCCTCTGGTGTTGTGGTTTCCAAAGCGCCGATCTTGCCTTCAGGTAACCCATATGGTTTCTTGACGATATCACATAAAAAAGGACATTGATACTAAGTAAAACATAAATACATATTACATATATGTAGGTATAACACGACCTAGGATTCCAATTCGTTTTTGCAAAAAGTTGATCAACGAGATAGTTATATTTTGTTTTCATTCTTTTTGGTAAAATTAAGCCGTAATAGCTCATCCAATGAGCAGTTGGTATTTTATAGGTATAATTTAAAGTTAATATAATCAATGTAGGTAAATATTTTTAAATGCTAGTGTCTTCATAATGAAGACAAATAAGGAAAAAAAAACTGCGATGCAGATAGGCACAATGTTAACAACTTGTTTATAAAATTAGAGAAATTCCGTTGCTACGATTGTGATGCATATTTTCTAGGTATTTAAATAACTATTTTGATTATATTATTTAAGTTGTTGATAGGGGAATTAATTTACATTTTTACAAAATACACATACAAAAATTTGTTATACATAAAAAAGAAAATTGACTTAGGATTTGAGGCCTTAACACAATTCTATATAGGGTGACTGGTAATAGTTGTAGTAGAGTTGGTAGGTATAGTTTTATTTTTAATACTATTAATAACAAAACGCTCATCGCCCTATCACCTGTAAGCGACGAGGACTCGCGCGACCGCATTCGAACTTTACACAGTAATTTTGTTATAGTAATATAAATTAAGTGTGGGAGAGCCATGCTTCGGCACGAATGGGTCGGCTCGACCGGAGTGATACCACGGCCTCACAGAAAACCGGCGTGTAACAACCACAGCGTTGTGTTTCGCCGTGTGAGTGAGGTTACCGGATGCCCAATCCTTCCCCCAATCCCTCCTCAATCCCTAAATCACCAAATCCATAATCCCTAAAAGGTCGGCAACGCACTCGTAACTCCTCCGTTGCGGGTGTCCATGGGCGGCGCTGATTGCTTTTTCTTTTGTTTTTTTTTGTGAGGGGAAAATCATCAAATGACTTCTCCCGCCCAGGGTCAGGCGGGAAGGAGTGTCAGACTCTTACTGACTAAAAACCCCCCTGTCCTACTTCTGCTCTAGGCCGAGGTCGCGGTGCCTCAGGCGCTGATTGCTTACCATCAAGTAATCCGACTGCTCGTTTGCCGACCTAAAAATAAATAAATAAATAAATAATGATAATGAATATCGAAAAAATGTTTCTTTGGGAAGTTATGATGAGTACAATCTCGTAGTTAGATATCGGTCACCAATTACCAGTCACTTTATAGATGGATCAGTTCTAAGTTCCATTAAATTAGGTTCATAAGTTTTATATATGATTTACAACTTTCAACGATTACTCGGTGTGATGAAAACTAACACATACTGGTTCTACTCGTAGTAAGTGCATTTTCATCCATTTCATCTCTTAAGTGACATGGTATGGTTACGAGTTACGAACTGCTATAATTCGACCTATCTCTTTGAGGAAAGAAAAGCACGAAGTTATTATGTATAGTTATTATGTACCTACATTGTACTAAGCTAACTTACGTTACTAAGTTAATATAATTATCATCAAATATAATTATTCGACTGCACGGTTGGCGCGGTGGCTGGGCAACTGGCTGCCGTGCAATGTCGCGGGTTCGATTCCCGCACGGCACAACTCTTTGTGTGATCCACAAATTGTTGTTTCGGGTTTGGGTGTCATGTGTATGTGAAATTAAATGTTTGTAACCGCACCCACGACACAGGACAAAATCCGAAAAAAACAAAAATTCATTTTAAAATACATAGACAAATACTGCACTTGAATTCCTTGACTCGAATGGGCTACTGCATCATAGGTACATATATTCAGACTACTTCGAGGCTCCTTCGAGGCATATGCACTATTTCAAATGTGGCAAACATTAATGTTACTGCAAAACCAGTTCTCTTATTGATCACGATACAAATTTTAGAATCAATCTGCATTTATGTAGTGCTAGTAGGGTTATAGATCGGTTTATTATTCGATATGTTTTCGCAAGCGACAACTGCAAAGTAACATTGTGAAGCGTTTGATTCCCAAGTCGGGTAAAGTTATATAGACTATGCTGCACGAACGTCATCGTTAATGGAGATACGTCAGCTCTTTATCAACATTTTTTTTCCAACAGGAAAATATGTATAGTGTAGCAAGGGGTCCATCTCAGTATATGCGGTGGCCCCTGACTATCGGGGTAATAAACGTATCTGCGCGCACACGAAATTAAAAAAGATATACATGACGTTATATGAACAAATACATATTAATTAATAGGTCTTTACCTATGAAATTGCCGTTCTGCAGTACTGGCCATTTCAAATCAACATAGTTTTTGTTAGGCTAAGGCTAATTAATTTTGTTTTAAAAACATGGGATTCTTTTTCCAAAAGTAGTCATTTGTTTATTGATTAGTGTTACATTTTCATCGCTTTTCAAATCAAAAAATTCGTTTAACTTTATTCATGCAAAACGGCAATTTCGTAATAACAATAGGAATTCGCTTTAACTGAAAAGTGCCAAAATGAAATTTTTCATGAATTAAATATATGATTAAGTAGATTCCATTTTCCGATTTTTTTCGGGAATCGCGTATCAGTCTTGCGAGAGCCTGTTAAATACTGCTCAAACTTTCTCCGTGTGAGGAGAGGCCTTTTTTCACAAATGAGAACTTAAGCTGGTGAGAACTGTCATGAAGAGTCTTACTTTTAATGTCAATCTTTGCCTACTCTTTCGTGAAATAAAAATACATCATAAACTGTCCAAAGACACCATAGAAAATGTATTTCAAGGAAGTGTCAACGTTTTGGAAGTTCCGGTCTACTTGAATGAGATGCCCGGTGAATGGGCCGGCCTACTTTTCTTTGATGTGTGTGTGGCGGGCTTTATTCCGTTCTTGTGTGGTGAACGTAGCAAGTTCAAGCGAGAATGTAATTCTATGTTTGACTTTTTATTGTGTTGTGGCTGTAGGGCTAAATACGACTGTCAGCCTCCCCTTCCCCCTCGGCTTAGAGCAGGAGAAGGAATGGGGGAGTTTTTAGTCAGCAAGAGTCTGACACTCCCTCTCCTATTCCTGGGCAAGATTTCTTCATTTGATTATTTTCCCCTCACCAAAAAATGCCTCTTTTTCCCGTCAATGTCAATTTAGAGACTACTTGAGACTACTATGTACTTTTGAAGCGTCAAAATATAATAATATTGTGTCAGTCTGTTCATCAATGAAGCTAGGTGCTCATTCCAAAGTGTAGAACGAATGGAGGAGAATGAGCAAGAAAATTCATCGTTGCATTTTAACTCCCTTATACACTTGATCCCTTGAACACCAATCTCCAACCCCTTCTTGTAAAGAAGACTTTTAATCAAAAGTGTAATGGCGGAGCTTGTGAACAATGTTATTAAATTTAGGAGTTATTTAATTTAGTTTATCAAACGTACTGTCAATTTAGACTATATTATAGTAAACGGATTCGATATACATATTTAATATAGTAATATAAGAAAAATACATTTCCCGCTTTGAGCTGGTTGACGACGGGGAGAGTCAGACTCTTACCAAATTAAAATCACCCCGTTGATTGGCCTTCTTCGAGCCTGAGTCGCGGTACATCATTGTGCTTGAACCTTCAACCCTGGCCTAAGGAATGCCCCCGTTTAACGTTTTTGGTGGCAGCTAAAGATTTCCGATGAGATTATAATAAATATAACACCGAATCTTATAATTCTTTAATAAATGAGGCGAGATAATCCCTTAGGAATTGCATACCTGCCTAAGGTAAATCAATTAAATCTCAAAAAAGTGAACAAAACAAAGCTTAAACTTTATTGAACTCAAAAATCTTTGAACGTATAATATTTATATTTTATTTGTCGTTTGGTTACAGGTAGCGACCTGATTCTCCGAAACGAGAATGGTGATTTGGTGCTATATGACGTGGATAGTGACTCAAATACGATTTTAGTTCACAACACATCAAAGGTCAGTTAACACAACATGATTTTGTGGTTACACAAGTAAATAAAAATAGGAGGGTAAAGATTGGGTCACCGATAACACCAAAAAAAAAAACTTTATGAGATGGGCGGCAAACGAGCTGACGGATTTCTTGAGGGTAAGCAATCGGTGCCGAATGTAAATAAATTCCAAATTTAAAAACTAGTTGGTAACATATTTTATGTAATTAAACCCCAAAGTACAATTGTTTAAACATGCCAACTACTTAGTTACGCAAGACTTTTTTAATTTAAACCTGTTAATTAGTTCCTAAATCTATCTTTAATGAGACAAGATTGAAGGCAAGGACTAGTTTCTTTCTTGAAAAAAGTATTTTCTATCAACATAAAACGATGGCGAAGCCGCGGGCAGATGCTAGTCGTAAGATTGAAATCGCATTCCACCTTGAACAAGTATGGTTATTAATGCTCATACCTTTTCCTACTCCTCTGAAGAGGTCTTGGCTCGGCAGTGGGCACCTAAAGGGTGATGATGTTTTATATTTGATTGCAATGAGTTCAACCTTTAAATAGAGCAGCATTTCGATATATGGTAATACCAAGAATTATGTGTTATTTTTTAACAAATCCCAAAGTGTTATTTCGATTTGTTTGTTTGCCATCATAAACTATAAAATGTAGGTTACAGAAATTGGAAATTTTGTTCCCTTCCGCAACCTGCACGTTGATTTCCGAGGCAATTCGGTCTCGCAAATTAAGTTTTAAAGGCTCTCGAGGAGCTTTGCCTCGCGTTCGCGGGAAAATATTTGCACGAATAGATTTTTAAGGACGCTGTATTTGCGTTCAATCGTTCGCGTATAGTTTCAGAGAATTTAAATTATGAATATACTTTTTCGTATTTCGCGCTTAAATCTCAACTTTACTGCAAAATAGTAAGGCAGAAATTAATTGCTAATAAACATATTTTAATACATAGTACAGAACATAGGATGATTTATTTTATATGGCACCTATGTGCCTATGTATGTAGGATTTTTATAATGTAGGCAATACCTTAATTTTCAATATTGAGAAACTAGAACCTTAGAACTTGGCCTGTAAGTTAGAATTTGAATAATTAATATGAAACTTTAAATTAATTAAGAATTCACCTTTGGTTACTTGAAAACCTTAGCCTCAATGGAAAGGGCAGGTCTGGTGATGTTTTGATGTCTGTAGTATTTATTATATAATTGAATATAAAAGTACACCAGTTAGAATTGTTTATGAATAAATAATAAGTAGGTACTTATTGTCTTTTAACTAATTCATATTTTTGAAACTTATTCATATGGACTGTTTTTTATGTAAATGTCGGCAAACGAGCAAACGGATTACCTGATGGTAAGCAATCAGCGCCGCCCATGGACACCCGCAACGGAGGAGTTACGAGTGCGTTGCCGACCTTTTAGGGGTTAGGGATTTGGAGATTTAGGGATTGGGAGAGGGGATGGATTGGGCCTTCGGTAACCTCACTCACACGGCGAAACACAACGCTGTGATTGTTTCACGCCGGTTTACTGTGAGGCCGTGGTATCACTCCGGTCGAGCTGACCCATTCGTGCCGAAGCATGGCTCTCCCACACTTAAGTGTTTTGTTTGTATGAGTAGGTAGATTAATCGGTTTAGCTCCTAGTTTCGATATATTAATATAACTAAGGTTTAGAATAGTACCTAATGTGATGTATAGGATAAGCACAGCTGGCGTTAAATGGAAACTTCGACTGCACAGTGGACACGGCTGGGCAACCGGCTGCCGGGAACATTGGTTGATTCTCAAATTATTGTTTTGGGTCCGGGTGTGATGTGCATTTAAATAAAATGCACGTAAAACATAGGAGAATCAAAGAACTATGAGGTTCCCTAGTGTGGCGTAATTATTAATTATTCATGTTCCAGGATTTTCATAGTATGATTTGTTTTTCAGATTCTACAGGAGTCAAGCAGGGTGATGCAACTATCTCCTGACGGCAAAGAAGTTATTTTGGCACACAATGTAGGACCGGTGAGTTAATTGATACCTTTTACTACACGAGTTTATGTTGGTAAATGTTGGTATTACCAACATTTCTGAAAGGTGATTTACCCAAAATTCGTAATTACCTAAATGAAAATAACAAAGGTAGATATAATTTACGATTTATTTGATGTTCAAAAACCTTAAATATAATTTTTTATCTTTAACTTTAACAAAAATCAACTTTGTTGTTTGGGTGGTTGAAAATGTGAAAAGAAATTTATAATAAACTTATGAAGGTACTTACGTAAATGATTTTGAAAAATACACGAACGAAGTAATAAAAAAATACAGTTCGAATTTAAATTTCAATTCGACATTTTTAGAGCCTCCCTTTAAAAGCATTGATATTTTTACCAAATGCGGGCAAAGCCGTCATTTAAATTCGCAAATGGCCTCTCACGCCGTGTAAACAGTCGTATAAAAATGTAAACAATAAAAGCAGTGTTGCCAAAATGCGTTATAATAAATAACACAGATTTTTTAAACATGATCACGTTTAGCGGTCACGTATGATGCCCTCTTTTATTTAAATCGGTAATAATGGAAACGATTTTTTTTATTGCTCTCACTTATCCTTTTTTACTTCAAATAGAATATTATTAATGAACAAAATTATAATTTAATTAAGAAATTAATTATTGCAATAAAACAAAGGTTTATTCAATTTGAATACTTTGAGCAAAAATACCAAACTTTAAGGCCAGTCTCTTTTTTAATCCAGACGATTTAAAAATGATGTGTGAGAACTGTGCAAGTTCATTATTTAGTGGTATTTTAAGGAAAGAACCACACCAGTTTAAGTAGACCCTTTCTGTCGGTAAGCACACAAGTGTTGCAAGTACGCAAGTCAGTTTACAACTAGCTCAAGTAACGATAAACGACAATTTATAAGTGAAGTAGGTACCCAACATGCATAAGAAACATAGAAGTGGAAAACGATCTCCATAAATTCAAAGTGCAAGTAAAAGTGACCCGAGAAGATAACTAGATTGTGAACTTAAAGTTTAAAGTTAGTTTAAAGAAAAGAACATACTTAATTGTGTCCGTTGAGAAAAGTCGGTCTTCATGGGTACACTGCATTGACCCAGTTCCATCTTGCGATTGACCCAATTTGACAATTATTGAGTTTTTCCTATACTTTCTTTAATTTTGACGTAGAATTTTGGATAAAGATTAAATCAAGCGTTTATTACATGTCAGTTACACTTATTCATTCAAAACAACAATTAGAAGCAATAGAAGAAAATATTTTTTCCACTCTATTTTTAGTAAATCCTTCCAAATCGCCTCTTGCCAAGCGATTTGGAAGTTGCTGGAGTCGTATGATGATGTTTTCATTTTATCAACCGACGAACGATCTCATTGGTCCCCTTATGTCAAGCAATTGGCATTGTCCAACAACAACATCAACACTAGACTTAAAAGTGTGTTGCCGGCCTCGCGGGGATGGGTAATGGTATGGAGATGGGGGAAGGATTAGACCTTCGTTAATTCCTCAATCTCATAAAGAATTATAACGCAAGCAGTTTTCGGTACCTATGGTCGTAGAATGATTTCGTTTGAGCAAATCTATTCCAACTGAAGCGTGGCTCTTCCACATTAATAGGATGATGATTAATTCCAGATATACAGATACAGTTTCTTGGCTCGCTACACTGCAGTGAACTTATTGAACGGGGACGAAGTACCCATTGCTCCTCCAGGCATTGCCACAGATGACGCGTTCCTGCAAAACTTCGTGTGGGGTCCCTCAGGAACATCTTTGGCCTTCGTCTACCGAAACAACATCTACTACCAGGCTTCTTTGAAAGACGCCCCTCGTCAAATCACGACAACAGGCGAATTGTATGTCTTGTACCACGGTATCCCCGACTGGGTTTACGAAGGTTGGTAATAATATAAAACTCCAAGTATCATTGATCGAAATAAGTGTGTTTTTTTTTAGTACCAGTGATCCAAATAAAATATTGGAACAAAATGTCAAAGTATTTTTTCGCATTCTACTATTTATTCATTTTAAACATACCGTGCTTACATTCGAATGTTACCAATTTTTTTTTATTGCAAATCATTTACTTTTAATTTAAACTCAAAAAAATCATAATCCATTGCTATAAGAATGCTTAGATTCTGGAATTCTCAAGGAAAATTAAAACGAACGCATGTAAGCGTGTCCAATATACATAGGAACCTACTGAGAGGTTTTTGGTGGAGTTGAACTTTTAGTGCAAAATAAAAAAGGTGACATTCGAAATGTAGGTACATAATTGTATTTTTGAAGATTTTCAACTGGTTACAGAATTATACATCTCCCTTCTGTCTTTGCTCTAATGTATAATAATATTGATGTCAATATATTCACAGAGGAAGTCTTCGGTTCGAGCAACGCTATCTGGTTCTCCGACGATGGCGTCAAAATGGCATATGTTACCTTCGACGATAGTGATGTGGATGTGATGAGAGTTCCTCATTACGGTATCCCTGGAGATGTGAGATTCCAGTACACTCGTCATCATGATATCCGGTACCCCAAGGTAATATTCAAGTTTCTTCTTATAAATATATAATATCATCCGGCATGACAATCCAGAAAGTTTTGGATTTTTTAGCATATCTAATAAATGTCTCTTCTTCAAATGACCGTTGGGCACGTTTATTGATTTTTTGATAGTATCTCTCACTTTCTGGATAGTTGAGTAAAAGCATTAAATTTGCCCTTTTTTTCCTATTCCTGATAATGTTATGATTTTTTTGTTTTCTTTAACTATTGAGGGATCTTTAAGCGTATGAGTGTTCCATCATACCCTAAAATAATTATTTAACAAACTAGATCAGGACCATTCGGACATCGTTTTTAGATATCAGTTTACATAAAGCTATTGTATATTAAAATTTATTACTCTATGTTTAAAACGGAGGATGAAATTGTGTTTGACGTCTGATTATGAAATGCTTCGCTAGTCATAAATTAATCATGAACTGCATAAAGTTTAACTGCTACTCGAGTCAGGAACTTGAGATTTATTCCTCCCTCAAGCCAAGTTTCCCAAACATCACCTTTATCATTGGAAACTTCAATAAACGTCTCAAGTTATAATGAACTGGGGCTAGGCTAGTTCAAATTGCATATAACCTCGACAAACTCAATTCCATAAGTTAATTGCTTCACCCGCCTTCTAGTGTTTGAGAGAATTGGATTTTACTATAACGTTTGATAGACTGAGCTTTAAACCATTCATTTACGGTATTGTAAAATACATCTGTGAATCGATGGTGTAATTTGAATTTTCCTATCGATTTTACGCTACTAAAAAAATTGGCAATGCCTAGTGTCGAGCGTAAATTAAGGAACAATTTTTAAGTTGGCTACAAGTTGTATTCACTAGCGTCCATATTATTTTGAGATGGCTGTGGCATAAAAAATTCGATATGATCTCTTATTTTCAATGATTTCAATACATTAAGAAAGTGACTACTTACTGTCTACAAAAGAATTTGAGTCTCTGGAACGAACCTATTGTTTGGAACGTGACGATTGCTAGCTTACTGGTATTAGTTATCGATTCTATACAGTTTTGATACTCGTATAACACTTTTGTTTTGGAATAAGTTGAATAGAAGCGTAAAGTTTACTGTACTGTAAGTTTAAGTGCCTACTGATGTATAAATATTGTAAAATATAAGCCTATTATTGCAAAATCAATCTTAGGAACATTACTTTGATTATATTTTCGTTTGCATGAAATAGGCTTACATAAATAGGATTTGTGTTATTGATTTATTTTTGTGGAATAACAATTGTCAGATATTATATATTTATTGGAAAAAAACAGACATCGTCATTTATCCCGTTCTTCTCCATTATTTTTCTAATAATTTATTTCATAGGAACCTCTTGCTGAAATTAATAAATACAACAAAAAAGAATTCTCAGAATTGATTCAGGCGATGTTGAGTAACGCGCTTACCAACACATTTTGCGATAAATTTTTATGTATCTAGGGTATTATGGTTAGCGGTTTACTCTCATGACGAGGAACTTAGTTTCAAGATTTTAGAAGATTAGTTTCAAGTCTGTGTAGATGCTGGTATTAATGAGCAGCGTGGAGCGGTATACGACGAGCTCAATATTGCGCTGCTGCTAATTAACTAATATAATAATCTTTCACGAAAGTTAGAACACGAATACAATCATCTATATAACTCTTAATTCATTGGGAAGCTTTTGTTTTGTGGAATTAATATACTTTTATGCTGACCTTCCAACAGAATTGGGACCTCTTTAACAGGAATGTCCTACCAGAAATAGCAATTGAATAAATTCTTATAAAACTTATAATCTTGTTTCAGGCTGGCACAAATAATCCAACTGTTAGGGTGACATTGATGGATTTGAACACAAATAATGTCAACACTTACGATGCACCTGCTACTGATATGGACCAGTAAGTATCAAATAAATGGAATTCTAAAATTTTTCGACCAGGTTTTTTGAAAAACACATTTTATCTTTTTGTTATCAACTAGCGACCGAACCCAGCTTCATATGCAATGCTGATAGGTATTAAATTTCTCCAATAGTTCATGGATGTTATTATACAATACCTATAGACTATCTTTTTAAATTACTCTATCTATTAAAAAGCCGCATCAAATTGCGTTGTATGGTTTTAAAGATTTAAGCATCCAGAGAGTGTGCTTGTTTCTTGCGTCATTTGTGTGTGAAATAAATGGTTTTTCTTTCTTTCTTCTTTCAGATATAGGGAAATAGATGGGGAAAAAGCGACTTTGTTATATATTATGTGTGAAGTAACTTTGTATATCCCCAATAACGCATTTTTATCCGGTTATAAATTGATGGTAGTAAGAACTATGGTAAATTTTGTTATGAATTTATTCATAAAACTTCCGACTATTTGTGTTTCAGGCCTATTTTGAAGACGGTAAAGTTCATAAGTAACACGGCCATTGCCTTAGTATGGACGAACAGGGTGCAAACTGCTCTGAGAGTGCAACGCTGCACGGCTGGTGTAACTGCTTGCACAACGGTCAGTATCTAAAAAACAAGTAACATCAAACAACGAAAAACATCTGGTAAAGGTAACACTCACACACAATAAAAAAGTAAAAAACCTTGTCATAATAAAAATAACTAGGTGATTTTCTTTTGTTTATAAACACATCCACGACACAGGAAAAATGGAGTAAATATTGAATATATCCTAAGACTGTCGTTTATCTGCAGAATTATCGCTTAACACTAAAACACGTCTACATAGAAACTACTTATTTTTCAGTTGTTCAACTATGCTGAGACCAACGGTTGGATTGACAACATTCCGTTCTTCTTCAACGATGCTGGAAATGCTTTCATCACTATTCTGCCCCACGTAAGTGTTAAAGTGCCCTTAGCGCCATCTCTTAGGGTTGTTAAGTGCTCTTAGCGCCATCTCTTAGCGTTTTTAGTAAACATATGTTATTCCTTAGTTCTAACGAATGTTGAAAGATGTCGTGGTATTTAAGTATTACTTTCGTTTGTTTGGGAAAGATTTGTATGATCCGAGTTTTTTAATTATCAGTGGCGGATTAAGAGTATCCGAGGCCCTAAGCACAAAGCCCGTGTAGGCCCTCTATTGCTTAAATGGAAATTACGTTCGGGTCTAGTTCTGGTCGGGCGGCGAGCTACACTTACTCGCCGTCCGCTGGAAGGTCAGGTCCTGCGTCAGGCAGAAGGTTAAACTCCTGAGATGACTACTCGGTCTCGCGGCACGACGCGACTTACTGGCGGTATGAAGGGTCACACGCTCGCGTCTTGTGATTTCGGACATATTGTGGATCAATCTCGATAACATATAGGGATAAAATCAAACAGCAGCAGATGATGGAGGCTCCTGCTTAACAGGGGCCCCAAGCACGTGCTTGTAGTGCTTATACATTAATCTGAAACTGTGTACCAGTATAAACACTATATGTATAGTTTAATAGCTATTGGTTATATCGTTAAGTAAAATTTTCTCATGATTATGACATTAAATTAACTATTTAAGAACGAATTAAGTAGCCATTTATTTTATGATAAACTAGTAGGTAAGTAAGTAAGTAAGTACAAACTTACTCTAAGCAAGTAGGTACCAATAAAAAAATATTCAACAATAAATTAATGGTAATGCAAGTGTTCGCAATTACAAACTGAGTGTTCCTAATTTTTTCTGGTGTCTATTTTTAGGATGTCAACGGTGTTCTATTTAAGCAAATCGTTCAAGTTACTGAAGGTGCTGCCACAACCAGGAATAGGGTCAACAATCCTCATACTGTCCTTGAGATCCTCGCTTGGGGTTCTGATGATGTTATGTAAGTGTACCTACCTCGCCATTTTTGTGGAGACCAGTAGTCCACCCAGCAGGACTATTGTGTATCTCTATTGAGTGTTCATAGTGAAGATATTTTTTTTAAGTGATAGGACGTCAAACGAGTAGAAGGAATACCTGATGGTAAGCATTCAGACACGCCCATGGACACTCGCAACAAAGGAGGACTTACGAGTGCGTTGATGACCCTTTGGTGATTAGGCTGTGGATATTTAGGGATTGGGGAGAGAATGGGGTGTGGGTAAGGTTTGGGCCTCCAGTAACCTCACAATACTCGGCAAAGTATTTAACGATTAGTTGTCAAACATATAGTTTCCTATCAGTTATTTTAAGTGATAAACTATAATGACGTCATAAGCAACCAGTACTTCTGCAGATCTGGCTGAATGTAAGGCTGTAGGCGAGTTTCCACAAATAACTTCTGTACTTTACAAATTTTATTGTCATACTTACTATAATATTAACTTCACTGTTGGCAAAGTTACTGATTAACGGTAAAATTTCTCTTGGGGCTGATTCTCTGTATGTTCCTCAAATTGTCGTTTCGAGTCTGAGTATACTTGGAAACATATATAACGAAAACCGTAAAAATATGATCAATCTGTGGAAAAATTACTTAACAATGATATTATATGAACACAGATAGATATGTTATACCTACGCTCACAAAACGCACGAAAAATGTGTTCCGCGCCAAGCGTCAGCACACCTACCTTTCATTAATTCTTCATACCATTACAAGTTAAAATTGTAGAAAAAGGATAGTATGATAAATCCAACAAGAAAAAACTAAACAGCTATTGTTATCAATTACGTACTCAACGTAAACAAACATATCATTGACTTGCATACAATTGTATCCTTTTCGAGTCTTCACTTTTGTGCGGCATAACATGTCTTTTAATATATAATATCATTGTTACTTGAGTTTACTAAAATCAAATATGTATACCAATAAATTTATTGATTCTTACTCTTTCCAGTTGGTACAAAGCAACAAGCGTCAGTGATTCCCGAGAACAGCACATATACTCAGTCAATTCTCAGGATGAAATCTCCTGTTTCACTTGCAACATCCGTCGTACGGACGGAGGTGAGTGCCTCTACAATGAGGCCACAATGAGTGCCTCCGGAGACAAAATCACCATCAACTGCGCCGGACCTGATGTACCACAAATCTTTATTTACAAAACCGTAAGTCTTTGACGTCTTCTCAGTATTTTGTAATGAAAATATAAATACCGTAGTGTGCTGTGTAAAAAATTTTTCATAAGATAAAATCTCATGTATTCTTCTTCAACGTAACTCTCAAAATACATACTGCACGGTTAGTTCGGTGGCTGGGCAACTAGCTGCCGTTCAACGTGTCGCGGGTTCGATTCCCGCACGGAACAACTTTTTGTGTGATCCACAAATTGTTGTTTCGGGTTTTGAATTGTATGTTTGTAACCGCACCCACGACACAGAAGAAAATCCTAATGTGGGGCAACGTTTAAAAAAAACGTAATATCTGGCTAAAAAACCTAATCCAAACTCTATTTGTTTTTAGAACGGCGAACTGATTCGTGTCTGGGACTCAGGTGTGGATCTGTCAGCTATCACGAATAACCGCGTCCTGCCCGTCACTATCCGAGCACAAATTCCTACGTCACTTGGTCAAACAACCTCTGACATCCACATCCAGGCACCTGCAGACTACGCTCAAAGAACTAACGTACCATTGCTCGTCTACGTGTAAGTGTGCTTACCAAGAAACCTTTTTGATATCATCATCATCATCAGCCTCTAAATGCCCACTGCTAAGCAAAGGCCTCTTCTCATACGGAGAAGGTTAGAGCATTGATCACCACGCTTGCTCAATGCGGGTTGGCGATTTCAAACTTATAATTAGAAATTATAAGTCCAGGTTTCCTCACGATGTTTTCCTTCACCGTATGTCAGTGGTGTCTACATAATCATAGAAAGTACATATAACTCGGAAAAAGTCACATTGGTAACCCACACCCTCATGCATGAGGAGGGCCACCACGACCTATCCTTTTGATATCCCAAACTTAGTTTTGAATGTAACTGAACGTAATTTTGGCAATAAAACACGTGTACGTTATTCCAAATTTAAAGATACCTTCCGAATTGGCAGCAAAATAGACCATTATATGTATACTTTTGTATTGTCATATTACTTATTATATACAATAACATCTACAATTACTGGGCTATCAGAATGAATCATGCATGGTTGTCCATAATCACTAGGTATCATCCACTAATAATAATTGTTTATCATGATGATACTCCCTACAACTTATAAAGACGCTTCGTATTTTGTGTCCCATAAAAATGCTTACTATTCTTATTAAAAGAAATTAATTTAACTTTATCTACTAATCAATTTATTTCTAGGTACGGTGGTCCCGATACCGCTCTAGTGACGAGGCAATGGAGCCTTGACTGGGGCAGTTCTCTTGTCAGTCGCTGGGGCATTGCCGTTGCTCATATTGATGGCAGAGGATCTGGTCTAAGAGGAGTCGCTAACATGTTCGCTTTGAACAGAAAGCTCGGAACTGTTGAGGTTGAGGACCAGATTGCTGGTGCTAAGTAAGTTAAATATTGTCTACCTAAAGGTTTTTTAGATCTACGTAAAGAGATCTATCCCTTTACACTCAAGTGTAAAGGCTCTTAATAAACTAATGCTACCTACCAGCAGAGATTGTATTACTACTTACCATTACACATGGGATCGCGGTCAAGCTCTAGTTTATATGATTAAAAAACACATATTCTTCGAATGCCAAAATCGCTCACACTGACTCAACATTTAAAATTTCATAGTTCAATCAAATAGTGTACAAATGGATCAATGCATAAATCTTTTTTAACCCTTCCACAAACATCTATACAATAGAAGCAAACTTAAAGAAAAGTTTTAACCCGATATCAACCTTCTTTAGATTTATCCAAGACAACTTCCCTTGGATCGACGCCAACCGTACATGCATCTGGGGTTGGTCTTATGGAGGGTACGCGGCCAGTAAGGCGTTGGCTGAAGGCGGAGACGTCTTCAGATGTGCAGCTGCCGTCGCTCCTGTCGTTGACTGGAGATTCTATGGTGAATACACTTATCAAATTCAATGCTGCAATTAATTCCTAGAACTAGGATAGCTAGTACTATGAACTAAGGTGCCCGGCATAATTAAATCTACCTTCACCTTACTAGATTTTATGATGAGACTTAAAACTTTGAAATTATTCGTTTTCGGCCACACTGATTAGTTTTATCAAATGGTGTGCAGAGCGCTACCACATTGGTCAGAGCAAGTGCGATTTCTGGTAGATTTGGGGAGATTATGTATGAAAGCAGCAAAATAATGTTATGAAAAATCAAATTTTGTCACTTCTGTGTAAAATTCTACACAATCTGAATGTATACAATATTATAACAACATCTTTTGATTTATTTTGATCTGGGATACAAGGCAGATATTTTTATCCCTGGCACGTTCTGAATATTAGTGTCTCTGTGTTTTCATAGTTGTATCTATTGTAGATCGAATTGCTGCAGTTTTGGGATGTTATTTATTTATTTATTCATACCTACAAGCTAGTGGCAGGCTTGTCCTAATAATACTTACCAAGTTTGTTTATGAAGAAAGGATTTGATTGTAATCAGGTTTTTTTTCAGACACTATCTACACGGAACGGTACATGGGTCTGCCAAGGGCGGAGGACAACGCTGAGGGCTATGCAGTTTCCTCCCTTCTCACCGACCAAGTGGTATGCGTCCTTTTCACACGAACAATACTCAATAATTAATTCAAATCATAGTTATACAAGGAGCCCGCTTCTCATGCATACACTCTCATGCTTGGGTTCGAAACCTGGCAAGTACCAATGTGACTTTTCCGAGTTATATAAACTTTCTATGTTTATTAAGACACTATTGACATACGGTGAAGGTAAAGAAGGTAAACATCGTGATAAAACCTGGACTTATAATTTCTAATTATAAGTTTGAAATCGCCAACCTACATTGAACAAGCGTGGTGATTAATGCTCTAACCTTCACCGTATAAGAAGAGGCCTTTGCTCAGCTGTGGGCACTTTTAGGCTGATGATGATGATGATGATAGTTATATGCGTAAAAAACTATAAAGCGTTTTAGTACCTAGAACTACCTGGGAGTACAATAAATCCTCAGCACTGAAATGTTGTCTGTTGTCGCAAGTAGGCTATTATATCGGACTCTAAAAAAATTAATCAACCAACCTGCAAGCTATCATACTAGTATAGTATACTAAATAGGTGTTTCATTAAACGCTACTAATTTTTTGGGGAAAGAAAGTCCTGATTACTCTATTTGTAACTCAACGGCTGAAACCATTTTGTTGAGAATTGGTGGGGATGAAGTTTAGAACCAGAAGAAGAACATAAGATAGAGTAAAATGGGTAGGGAAGATAAAATAGTGTAGGGAGGGTAGGTAAAGTAGGGTACATCTGGTTAGGGTAGTATAGGTCGTCAAAAGACGGGAGCAAAACTGCGGATTAAAACTAGTAAGTTAATAAAAACCACGTTTTAAGCTTATGGAATAATTTCGCAGGCGGAGTCTCTCCGTGACAAGAGCTATTTCTTGATCCACGGCACAGCTGACGACAACGTGCACTACCAACACGCCATGTTGCTATCCAGGCTGTTGCAGAGGCGAGATGTTTACTTCACGCAAATGGTAAGACAAAGTGTTTCTTTAGCTTCTTTATATTTTATATATTGATAATCTTTTTACGCTATATGGTGTTCGAAAAAAAAAGCCCTGTGACTGAAGCAAATCTGTGGAAAACCGGAAAAGAGGTGAAACGAGGTGACTAGAATTTGAGGGGTGAATAGATATTAGCAAATATACTTAGTTCTTGATGTTCTTCGGTGTTAAAATGAACCTCTAGAAAATAATAAACGATACTAATCTACTAGGCCTTATTTAAGAACATGCGGCATCATATGGTTTGTCATACATTGCTCATAATGTTCATATCTTTGTGCTTGATGATGCGATCTGCTGATGCAGTGTATGACTATTGTAACAAACGAACGACGCCCGTGTCTCCGTTAACGAGCCCGTGTTTCAAGCCACATAAGTTTATCGGAAACTTATATAAATAGCAAATTAGGCAATAAATCGAATTCAAATTTCAATTATACGCAATCCTTGCAAGAATCCTTTTAAAAAAGGTAAACTGCAGCGATTGTGAAGTTACTCTGAACATGGGAAAATAATGTGCGAAGAAATATCCGGTCGTTTATATAAATAATGGGTTCTGGAACATTCCCTGGCTCAGCAGTGGCGCCCTGGGGACCAACGATCACTTTAACTTGATATACTGCAGGTATCGGCGCGGCCCATAAGTTACCATGATATCTTTAATTTTTATAGTCTTTTGGTGGAAGGAGATTGAATTAACTAGACTATATTGTACTTGTTTAACGTGTTATATGAAACATGGTATGTGACGCAATGTACAAACAATAGTACCTATCTACTAATGAGATTTTATTCCTGTTTTTTTTTCGTCATTTTCATCGATTACCCCAGATTTATAATTTAAGAGATTCATAAGTCATGGTGGCCCGGAGGTTAAAGCGCCCGCTTCTCATGCATGAGGGTGTGGGTTCGAAACCTGGCAAGTACCAATGTGACTTTTTCCGAGTTATATGTACTTTCTATGATTATTTAGACATCACTGACATAGAAGGTAAACATCGTGAGGAAATCTGGACTTATAATTTCTAATTAGTTTGAAATCGCCAACCCGCATTGAGCAAGCGTGGTGATTAATGCACTGAGCAAAGGCCTCTTCTCACCTTCTCCGCGTGAGAAGAGGCCTTTGCTCAGCAGTAAGCACTTATAGGCTGATGATGATGATGACTCCGGATTTGTTACCCTGATTATTATTGTTGTCATCAATTCGATCTATTAACCTTCTAGATTCTAAGAAGTAACTACTTTATGTAAACCTACTTATGAGCTCATTTGAACTAGGCATAGAATCAATTATACATTGAGTTTAAACCTCTTTTCTATTTTCCAGAGCTACACTGATGAAGACCACGGCCTCGTTGGTGTAAGGCCACACCTCTACCACGCACTAGAGAAGTTCCTACAAGAATACATGTTGTAATCACTTAAGACATTCCAAAATTGTTAGTTCGATATTTGCTCAGTGGTACCTCTATTAAATTAAAAAAAAAAGAAAGAATGTTTTCTTTCGTAAAAAGTTCTTAATATTTTTAACGGATGGTAGGTACTTAGTCAAAACAAAAGCAGCAAGTATTATTGATAGCAATTCATGTTAAACTGAACATTATCGATTGATAGTGTTTCAAATACAAAATAACAATCATTAAAGTGACTATCAAGATTTGTGTCTTGATGAGGTCAATTTAATCAAGGCTATGAACTAATTAAAATCATTTTTTATTCAATATCAATTCACCTGTTTTTTATCACACAAAAATATGTTTTAAAAACTTATGTCTAAGAATAAAAAATAATACTTTATCTATTACAGAGTTACCTGTCTGTTAGCGCAATAAATTATTATTAAAATAAAATAAATAGATTAATAAAATGAAAAATATTTTGATGAGTCATGTAAATAATTTTATTATGGAGTACTCTGATGTTACTTAATGTTGCCAATGTAATAGAATGAAACAGGGTTTTCAGTGGTTATTTGTAGATATTAATGAATAATAATAATTCAATAGATATTTATGTACACAAATGTAACCAGACAAGTCTAAACGTGTTATTTCTAGTTCGCTGTTTGTATAGTTTCAATGGATTGTTCTTCTATTGATTTCATTTGTAAATATTTTAAGTACTTTAAGTACAAAATATCTAATTAATAAATATATGTGTTTTCTACAAAAAAAGTTTTTTTTTCTCACTATGCGTACTATATTATACTATTTATATAACCCTCAGAGCCCATAGTTACTACAGCTTAATAACTTTAGTAAGAGTTTTTGATCAATGACTAACAAAATTGTTTTGTAAATCAATTTTTTTTATGTGTCGTCTGAAATTGATTTTGATGTTAAATTTATTTTATCACGATTTTTTTAAGACATCTATTAAACTTTATGTAGCAAAAAAAGAAAAAGAGAAAGTAGAATAAAGTACACTTAACATAATCGAAAATAAAGAGAGATACATTGGACGTTACGGTGGGTTATTTACTCTTTCCAAAAAAGATTGACCTGCGCAAGAAGTATCTCGTATATGTATATGTTCGTGCATTAAAAAATCTGCAAGCGTCAACAAGTTAAACGATAACAGTTGTTTGTCCAACTAAAAGTACATCAAGATTCGTTAAGGCTGAATAAAAATACTAGAAATATTCCAAGCCTGGCACCGAGCCACACTTTGAATTTTCAAGACGGTCCAAATATTGAATACCGTCTTTTTTTTCGATCAGTGTTTAAAAGAATCGGGCCTTTATGTGTTTTGAAGAAAATTGCTTTTTCACCGCTTTTAAATCAATAATTTATTTTGTAAGGATTAGATATTGTTATACCTATATGATTAGGTATTATTATATTCTGACTGGCAAAATAAGTACATCCCTTCTTAACCCTTTGGTAAAATGTAAGTTTTGTGTACGATAACAACAGCTTCGGTAGGTACCAGTTTCGGATCCGGTGCGAGGAAATGCCCGAGTGTTGTCACTGCCAGGATTACCTGGAGGTCGCAGTGTAGTTTTAAGTCAGAATTAGTCTGAATTTTCCTGTCGCCTCACTTTGAGCGAGTGTGAGACTATAGTGACTAAAAACCTCCTGTTCCTTGCTCTAAGCCGAGGCCGCTGTAGATGATTGCGATTAAGGTTCTACTGGGGTTTTAATTTCTAATGAACATGGTCCGTTATTTAAATTATTAAAGCCGTAGATAACACTATAAATTCATAAAGACATTTTATTATTTTCCACACAAAACAAGACTTGCATCGACATCAAATATTCAAAACTAATTTATTATTCAGTTTCTGATTGGCTGCTCTTGCATTATTTATTCATAATAAATTAAAACTCGACCGTCGGTTTTACAACGAGTTTCTATGCAGAAATCATTATTTGCCGTTCGTTGCATAAAGTTTTGTCACGATAATCAATGCGGTTTCCAGCCCCGAGTACATATTTATAAAAACGTTAAACCAGTTTTTCAATGGATTAGTTTTTCTTTTGTTATATGGTTTTCATAAGAGAACAAATGCAACTTTTTCTGAGTTATACATATGTACTTTCTAACAATATTTAGACATCTCTAACATACGGCGAAGGAAAATGTTGGAGGCAACCGTAACTTGTAATTTTGTGAAGTTCATAGTTTGAAAATATTGAGTTCGATAGAAATTACTGATGATCGAATCCTCTCCATCATGCATGAAAAGAACATTAAACTCTTGTTAACTTAAAAAAAAATAGTAGTTTTTACGAAAAATATTTAGTGTATAATGTATAGGTACTATAGGATTTTAACAATTGGGTAACTCCCATTTTCACATAGGTGTGGTGGGTTCCAAATACATGGTGGTTGGTGTGCTGAATTTTACCATTCTTTCCTGATTTGATTAGGAGGCTTATGGAAATCTAGACCCGAGAACGTAAGCTAAAATCGAAGAGGTAAGGTGGATAAAGAAAGGGTTCTTTAACATAGAAGGGGTCAAGTAGTAAGACGACTGCGTTTTTCTCCTTATAAGTGAAGTAACCAGATGCCAATCATGCTCCTAAACCTTAAATCAAAAAGCATTAAACAGAAGTGACAATTTTTGATAAATTCTGCTCTAATTTTATTTGCAAACACATTTAAAATTATAATTTTCTTGTCCAAATAATATTGTAATTTTTTCGAATATGAGCATAAGACTTTTGTGTATGACTAAAATGTTACATAAAACGTAGTATTTAGGCTCCAGTTGTTAAGAACAATGTATGTAAGCTTAGTGTTTTGAAATGAAGACTGAAAAATAACTATCGGATTATGTAAATTGGGACAAAACAAAAGGAGAGGTTTTGGTAACAATATTTTCTCAAAGTTATTAAGGTAGGACACATTAGCATATTCTAGTTAAATATTTGTCCTTATTATCCTTGCCTTTCAAGGGATTTTATTCATGCGTGACCTAAATACATGGTCAGCAGGATAAAAGCTTACGATGCGATTATGTTTGTAGGGCTTTTTTAATAAATGTGTCATCTAAACAAGGTTAGTTTTGTCTTGAAAATAATGTAAGTCAAATATTTTATTTATTTAATAATTTATGTACACACAAACAGCACAGAGGAAAATAAAATAAGAGTACATACATAGGTGCTACTTATTCCTGTTGGAATTTCTTCCAGTAGACCTGAGACAGGAAATGTAATTAAAATATAAGACATAGATTTAAAAATTTTAAAAAGTAAGACAACATAATTTTCCCATTTTGCTCATATTTTAATAGTATTATTTATATGCTATATGTATATTTGTGGGATATATTAATTGTATTCATATATGTTTTTGTATTAAGTATATGTATATGTATATGTTGCATATATACTTATTTATGTACCTATGCTTATTAATAATTTGTGTGCTCGTTTGGAACCTATTGTTAACACTTCTCTGCATCACCCTTGACTTTTAGGTTGACTGGTAGAGAATTGTATTTATATGTACATGATAAATAAATAAATCAAAATATAATGTACTGCAGCCTCGGCCCGGAACAGGACAAGGACCTGGGAGGTTTTTTGTCAGTAAGAGATTGAAAATCTGTCTCGCCCTATCGAGCCAGGGCCATAGAAGTGATTTGATAATGGTCCTCATTAAAAAATACTATTTCGAAGTAAACGTAACTTAAGTCTAGGGTTTCCAAATTCACATATTGTTTTCGTTTGACCAATTCAGTCACAATTCCTAAATCGAAATGGCTTTCATGACACATGAACCTGATTCAAGATACTACACCGGCTAAATTGACTTACATAACTGCAAAATTCAATGAAAATATATTTTTCACACAAAATAAACTTCTTAGAAAAAAATCTCGAAAACCCAACTAAAATACGACCCGAAAATAGAGAACAGTAAACAGTGTTGAGTTTTCACAAAAAGCCAGTAAAAGCTTCAGTCAGACCACTAATCAAGTTCGGCTAAAAAAGGGTCGAGGGCAGATGTGAGCAATTTGTCAAGTTGTCACGTTATCTCAGATACGGAACGACGGATAATGTCACAGGTGAAATGTGCTTTTCCGATCTGTAAATGGACGAAAGAATTACTATCGTGATCGATTTAGGATGAAATTAAGCGTGGAAAACCATGCTTCGGCACGAATGGGTTGGATCGACCAGATAGATAGTACGGCTTCACAGAAAACCGGCGTGAAACAAACACAGCGTTGTATTTCGAGGTGTGAGTGAGTATACCGGAGGCTCAGTCCTTCCATTCATCTCCTATACCCTAATCCCCAAAGGTCTGCATCGCACTCGTAACTCCTCCGCTATTGGTGATGTCCATGGGCGGCGTTGATTGCTTACCATCAGATAATCTGTATGCTCATTTGTCGTTATATCACATAAAAAATCGAGAAGTGAATTGCACAGGGCATGAAAATAACAATTGATTAAAAAAACACTAATTAACTAACAATCTATTCTTTTTAAATGCTTCGTATCTAGTAACTTATCGTAACACATTATTCGAATAAATGCAATAATTCTATTACAATTGGCTAGTTTCCTAGGTCATAAATAAATTAATTCGACTTTTCAATACAATAAAGTATTGAAAAATAACTACTTATACATTTATTGTATAAACTGAATTTTAGATATTTTTTACCAAATTTTTAAGAAAAAAGAAAAAAAATTCGACGCAAAAAAACTATGAATATATATAAATTTCATAGAAAAGTTTAGTTTTTGACATTTGGATAGAAGTATTGAATTTGACTCGTTGGAAATTACCGTATTCTGATTGCAGGAGTAAACAATCAAAATGTCACACTATTCTTTTTAAAGGACCGAAGTTGATCGATTTTTCGATTAGATCAAATTCTTAATTTAATTTAGAACAAGTTTAAAAAAGGAAGAAAATAAAGACGTGTACGACGAATTTCAAACGGCCTAAGTTAAAAACATATTCCCGATGTCAGATGCCATTACCGAGTGAAATAAAAAACACTTAGCCGCCATTTTTCTTTTTACGATACAGGGCTGTAATTTTAACGCTTTTACCCCATCAAAGGGTGTTTCATGTTGACGATAATGGGTGTATTGTGTAATTTAACAATTTAAT